ATGCTCGCGCTTTTCCCCTGCAACCCCGTCCGAAAGAACTGGAACCCAACATTGCAAGGCACATGCATTGGATGGGGCAGCAAAGACCCTGCCGACTTTTTCCACATGTTCTTGGGCCATGCTGTCAGTAATTGCTTACTTGATATTTTGGTTCTTCTAGTACCTCTGCCTTTCGTAACCACGCTAAGGATTGCGGGTAAAAGCCGAGCAGGCTTAGTCGGTCTGTTCAGCTTGGGCTGTATGTAAGTGGACAATGAGCTTCCAAGAAAGCCTCATACTGACAATCACCAGTGTCGTCATCGTAGCTGTCGGTCGCATGATCGCTATGTCTGTTAACAAAGCTGGTACCAAGCCTATCCTCGACATGTCCTTCCATACGCCCATCGTCTATATCTTCGCCGTTCTCGAAGTCAACTTCGCTATCATCACAGCCTCTATACCCATCTTCTGGCCCGCCATAGCAACACTGGCTTCCAACAAGATCTTTGTCGTCAACGAGGTACAGATCCACGTCGAACATGTCACAAGAAACGATAGCTTCGACTCCAGCGGCGGCATCAGCCTCAGCGACCGAAAGATACAATCGTCAGGTGGGGATAGCAAGATGGGCGTTGTTACTACGATATCCGACCGAGCACCACCTCGGAAGTCCGGCGAGAAGTCATCCATTCACCATCATCACAAACCAAGCACCGCTTCATCCGTCGGTCCAACCACCGGCTTTGGTGGAAGCCGAAAACCAAGCACCGCCTCATCCGTAGGCCGAACAATGGGCATGGACTTCGCCGGCCGCCCCAGTCAAGAATCATCACGCCATCTATACCGCATCCCGAGCAACGAGAACCGGAGCTCAAAAAGCCTGACGCAGAGCGAGGGCGATGACTGGTTCATGGAGATGGACAGGGCGAATTCACGCGGCCAAGTGACGACAACGGTCGAGAAGTCCTCGATCCCGTTCGAGCACCTCAAGGCGACGGATAAAAAGTAAAAAGCCAGCTTGTTTGAAGGGGAGACGGGGTGGGAAGGATTGAGTACATGTCTTTGGTAATGTCTTTCGCGTGATACCCTGCAGCAATGCAATATGCAACATATCTATTTTCTGTACGTAGCACATACAATAGATGAGTATGTAGTAATGTAGTCATCTAATTCATTCTTTCATGATTCACAGATTGGGCGCCTTCGTTCAACTTGCTCACGTGGATCGTTCGGTCTTGTTATACATTCCCAAGACGCCGCGGGCCGCAACGTTGGTTATCGGTCCGAACTGGAAACACGATGGAGTCGATGGATACTGTGTACTGATTCAATCACCGATGGTTCCCCCGCAGAGATGCCGTGTTGGATCTCAATTGAATCGCGCACGGTGCTGTTGCTCGTGTTCGTCCTGCTCCCCGCTTGCCGCGCTTTCTCCGTCGTAGGAGCGTTGGGGTTTTGGGTCGGAGGGAGGGTTGTCTGCTCTGCCAAGGGGTGGTTCTCGACCATTCATGATTACCAGCCACCTACATTGGCGAGAAGTTAGGAAAAGTAAGTAAGACTGTGGCCCCGCTTGCGTAAAGTTTGGCTTTACGTCCACAACTCTTATCTCCACGTGGGAAGCAGCACATGGTTACATGGCTGGTATATCTACTGCGCAGTCTGCTCGTCGAATACAAACACACCTGGGCGGTAAGATACTGCACATTCGATTTCGACGCTAAGGTAAACTCTCGGGTTGCTGTCCCGATCGAATGTTGTACTTTAGATCGCGTGCTCACATGCCTTTTGTTGCGGCAGCTGCAGGATAAGCTCTGCGCGGCGTCAGCGGCGCCAGGGTTGCTAACCTGTTCGAGCGACGCGCGGAGGCTTCGGACGCCTGAAGAAAGCATGGCAAAGCTTGAGGCTGGACGCAACTTCCCCTTCAATATCGACGAGGAACTTTGTGTTTGACAACCGCTGATTGCCGTTATTTCTTGCGAGCGGCAATAGAACTTAATACCGAACGCCACAGCATTCTAGAAGGCAAAGGACGCGTAACCTTGGATAGAGTTGTAGCCCCAACGGCTGTCTTGCTCGGTACCCAGATATTCCCGGCGGAAATGTGCACCTGCTTTATGGAGTAACAGCCGCGTCGTGGGCCTCCAAATCCTACGCCACGAGTATTGGGAAAAGCTTTCTTCCATTGTGAGTGGTCTGATGAGTGCGACAGGACAGCACCAAACCCGATGCGGGTTCGAGTGAGGGTGATCACAGGGTCTTTTGCAGTGAGTGCCACAACAGCCGTACCAGGGTTGCAAGCAAGCTCCAGCTCAAGTGAGAGCCGTTAAAGTTTGAGCGGTCCGCCTACGAAAGCTTATCTTCTACTCCAACGACGCTCTTGCTATCCTACTACGCTGGCAATCGTGACGCGACACCCTGCTTGATCGCATTCGCATTCTGGTTAAGCCCCACGCGACACTACAATGGCTTCCGCTGCGGAAACCCAACCAGGACTGTACAATGCGACTGACGCGAAAGGCGACATCGAACGTAGAGGCAGCGTCGCAAAGACAGAGAAAGGAAGGTGGGAAAGGTTATGGCCTGTTATCGCATGCGGTGCGGGTCTTTTCAGCGATGGCTACCTCAATAATGTACGCAGAACTCGATTCCAAGAAGCGACACCCAGACAATTCCCAATGCGACAACAACATTCCCCATCCCAAAGCACCAACATGATATCCGAATGGAGATCTACTGCGAGAATGCGAACGCTGATACAGGAATGCCTAGATTATTGGACCGGTGAACACGATGTTAAAGACAATCTATCCCGACTCGTATGCGAACTCTTCGGCCCAAGCGAACGTCTCGAGTATTACTTTTGCGGGTACGGTCGTGGGTATGCTGTTCTTCGGGTACACATCGGATCACTTTTCGCGAAAATGGTCGTTGTTCACCTCAACCATCATCATCATCCTATTCGCCATCTTGGGTACGGCGTCATACGGAGCTGGAGGTAGTCCAAGCGGACTGCTGACGGCGCTCGTTGTGTACCGTTTCTTCCTCGGAATAGGTGCGTCCTTCCTTAGCAGACTACACTTTCTTCTCGATAGACATACTGACATGCGACAGGTATTGGCGGAGAGTATCCAGCAGGCAGCGTCGGCTGCGCAGAATCCACTGGCGAACTCAAGCAGGGCACCCGAAACAAGTGGTTCATCCTCTTCACCAACGTACAGATCGACCTAGCGTTCTTCATCAGCGCCATCGTCGCGACCGTCGTTGTCCTCGCTACGGGCGAAGACCATCTACGAGCCGCTTGGCGTATCTGCCTGGGTATCGGAATCATCCCACCTCTGTCGCTGCTATACCTCCGATTGAAGCTACAAGAGCCCGAAGCATTCAAGCGAGAGTCGCTGGCCAAGGCGAAGACACCATGGCTGCTTATCATCAAGTACTACTGGTTCCGTCTCAGTATCGTCAGCATCATCTGGTTCATCTACGACTTCAGCGCGTACTCATTCGGTATCTACGCCACGTCCATCTTGGCCAATCTGCTAGGAGAGTCGGCACCGCTGTGGAAGAGTCTGGCATGGAACATCCTCATCAATTTCTTCTACATGCCTGGTTGCCTTGCTGGTGCTTTTGTCGCGGATCTACCTTCCATGGGGCCGAAGAAGACGCTGTTCATCGGTGTGACCTTGCAGGGTATCATCGGCTTCATCATGGCTGGATGTTATCCTTGGTTGAACAAGCCTGAGAACGTTGCCGGCTTCGTCGTGGTGTACGGTGTTTTCCTTGCGCTGGGCGAATTTGGACCGGGCGATAACATTGGTCTGGTTGCTTCCAAGACGTGCGCAACGGGTATACGGTACGTTGTTATATCGCATCTTTAGAGCTCCAGTTTCTAACTTCTAGACAGAGGACAGTACTACGGTATCGCCGCGGCCGTGGGCAAGATCGGTGCCTTCGCCGGCTCTTACGCTCTGGACGCACTACAGAAAGCTGCAGGCGATGATGAAATCGCTGCGGGTCGTAATCCCTTCTTCGTGGCTTCCACTCTTGCCTTCGTAGCTGCTGGACTGGTATTACTCCTTCCTCATATCGGCCAGGACACAATCGATCAGGAGGATATACGGTTCAGGGAGTATCTGACAGCGAATGGATATGATACTAGCAGCATGGGCTTGAAGAGTGCAGACGCAACGAGCACTGAGAGCGACGACAATGGCGCTGTGCCGGTGGAGCAGACGTATGGAAAATGAGTAAGGATCATGTTCAAGGGGACAATGGTCGATGACAACGATAGTTAGGTGTTAAAGAACTGTTTCCATACGAATGCATCTTCGCTTCAGACCACCATCTCAAGACCACTACTGTCCTTTGCCAACGGCCTGTATGCACACTCGAGAATGGGACAGCTCTAGAGCCGTGAGTGCCAGCACGTGCTAGAACTACACGCTAAAAGCCTTCCGGCCTAGCGCATTCTCACACTACCGAGGCTATCTGCAAAGCCGGAGAACCTGGAAGCTATTACAACCCACGTCACTAGCAGCTCCCCACCATGCACGACAGACGACAGATATACCATATCCCAGCCCACTTGATCCTCCCTGTGCCGCCTTAAACTGGGCATCGCGCGTAATACTATTATACAACAGATACACGGACGAGCCCATCTCACGTGCAATTGGGCACACAAACCCAGGTACCTCGGGTCTCTATTCCACCAAAACAGGCTTGAATACCTAGGTAAAGACATACCGAGCCTCTTCGGTAATATGGAACCAGATGGCCTGAGAGTGGAACAAGCCGTGGTATCCCCACACGAAGGAAGAGACTGCGTCTTCATGTGGACCCTAGTAAGCCTGAATGCGTGTAGTTGAGCCCATCGTCCGGGCACTCTGATTCGAAGGGGAAACAATACTAAAGACCAGCGAGAGACCTCTAATTGACTGACTGCAAAAACAAAGATTGATCCAACATCCTCACCTCGTACACACAGATCCGTCATTCCAAACCTCGAATCCAGTTCACCCGTCATGTCTCCCGCAGCCGTAACCTCGACCCCTCCTCCCAGCTCGACCCCCCACACAAACGGGAAATCATCTACCAAACCCGTCATCACCCCTTCTTCGACGGCCACCTCTCAAATCCCCGCATGGGTCCAACCCGACCTCACCCGTCTCCTCCGCGTAGAGCACAACCCCGGCTCCTTCACCTCGCGCTCCGTCTCCCTCGTCAACCTGCCCCCCGGCGCAGTCTTCGCACGCATCACAAACCCCACACCAGCGACAGTAGCCTACTCCTCCGTCCAAGCCTCGCGCGACCTACACATCGAGCTGAACTGCGACCTCGTCTACATAAACCACAGCTGCAAGCCCAGCCTGGTGTTTGACATGCAGCGCTGGGAGGTGAGGGTGTCTGAGCAGGGAGAGGGGCTTAAGGAGGGCGATGAGCTGACTTTCTTTTACCCGAGTACCGAGTGGAGTATGGCTCAGCCTTTTGAGTGCTTGTGTAAGACGGAGGTGTGTGCGGGCGAGATTAAGGGTGCGAGGGATATGAGCAGGGAGGTTTTGGGCAGGTATTGGTTGAATAAGCATATTGAGGAGATGCTTGCTGAGAGGGATGGGCAGTAGGGTTGTTGTTGATGGGAATGAGGGTTGTGACAAGAGGTGTAGAAGTAGAGCGGGAAGGCGTTGAGTGGAAGGTCGGTGTTGGTGGTAGGGGTTGAACTATTCATCATGAGCAAGGAAACAAGAACATGAGTACTATGATCATGGCTATGAGATCTTCACACCCTCAGTACCCGTCTGACATTCTCCTGAGTAACCTCCATGAACCCCAGTCCGAAAACCTTCCTATCTGGTATGTGTCCCTGCCAGGCCCCTCCTCCCCCCTTTCTAGCCTTAACATGATAAATTACTCCCCCAGTTTCAGTCATCAGTGCCTCAAAACCGATAGTATTTTCGCACTCCTTACTGCTACCATAGCTGCCAGGCGCGAGATATGTTATCAGCACGTCTGGCCCCTGTGGCACATAAAGAAACGGATGAGAAGAGAATTGATCTGCGAGGTGGGATAACACTGCTTTGGCGGTGGAGAATGCGGTACAGAGACAGAGGGTGCCGAGGGTGTCATGTGACACTCTGTTCAAAGTGACGACCCAGACTGTAGGTGGGAGAAGGCTGAAAATTTCTTGCTTGGTGGTAGAAGAGATGGGGTCTTCGAGGTAGGGGCGTGGCCATGAGTCTACTGCCGTTGTATCTGCGTTCTTATCTTTTGGTTTGTCTCTGGTCGCTTTCCGCTCCAACGGATTCATCGACATCGACTTCCTGTCCAGTGATACCTTGGGTTCATCGTCTTCCCTTCGCCGCTCTGTGGTCAAGGTGGATACGAGTGTCAGCCATTCAAGATCTTCCTCTAAGCGTTGGATGCGGTCATCTTCCTGAGAAAAGGGAGACATGACTGAGATGGGTAACCAGGATCTCGAGTTTGTAGATGGCGGTGCTGGTAGGACAGTCGGGTCGTCCGGGTTCTGGCGATAAAAGTGGATGTGGATGAGGGAGCGGAATATGACTTGAAACTGTGGCTGGGTGACTGAGGGCGAATTGCGAAGACTATCCCAACACCAGAGGTGATCTTATGCTTGCATGTCGCCCAGATGACCAGCTAAGCAAGTACAGCAGACTCCATAATCGCCTGATTGATAACAGAACGTCACAAGATCATCTGTAAGCACTCTCCGGATGCGGCAAATCGACCTGTTTTCCCATTAGCCCAGCCCTTACGTCCCTCCCCTCCCCACCACATCAACATACCTCACTATACCTCCCCTGATAAGCCGTCGGCCTCCGATCATCCATCTCCACACTCCACACCTCGCCCTCATCCTCATCCTCCAACTTGCGATACCTCCCCTTCCTGCCCGGCAGAAAACTCAAACTCTTCTCCGCATCCATCTTGGCCGCTCTCTTCTTGCGGTCGCGCTTGTTCTTGCAGATGACGAGCGTGATGATGAGGCAGAACATGCCGACGGTAGCGAGGACGGAGAGGATGATGACGACGATGAAACCGCGTTTTTCGCCTGGGTTCTGGAAGATGGAGGAGTTGGTGTCTCGGGTATGGAGAGAGAAGGACGACATGGTGAATGGGATGTGGCGTGGTTGTTGTGAGGGTATCTAAGTAGGATGGGATGGGGTCATGCGGTCGGTGTGTTGTCTTGTGATATGGTCGCTACGAAAAAAAAGGAACCGAAATAACAGGCTCACAATAGAAGAAGTCGCAACCCACGATATAAACACCCATCACCTCGCCGAAAGCACCGCCTACACAGCCGCCTCCTCACGACACCGCCTTGGTGGCCTCACCCTCTTCATGATCCCCCTCCAGGATGGCACTCCTCCCACGCTCCACCCGCACCGCCTTAAAATAGCGACGTGCGCAACCTCTCCTGCCAATCGCAATAGTTCAAGGGTACGCATCGTTCAGGCGTGACGTGGCCGAGTGCGTGCTGCGTTTCCGTCGTAAATTGGAATGTGCAAATGAGCACTGAATTGTTGATAATTTCGTTGTCGACTCATCGTTGTGTGAGTTGTGCGGCACAGCCGCGTGCCGGGGCAATGAATCGTTAGGTTATAGGGGGCCTTGAACGCTCTGATCGTCGTGCGTGAGACGAGACGAGATGAGATGTGGGGGGCCTGGAGTCATTGTCAGCCTCGCTGAATCAGTGGCCATTTTGTATATTGGAATTTTGACGACTACATAGTGGAAGCCGGTGACGCTTATATGCTGTCTTAATGGTCTCGAACAGAAGAGGTTGAACGCCATAGATGGATAAATGATTTGATAATGGTTTGCACCGAATTCTACGTATTGAACTGAATAACCATGATCAACGCCAGGGAATGCACAAGACCATGCTATGTACGACAACAAAATCATTTTCATAACCCCCCTTCCCACCCGAACACCCTCATTACACGTATGCTCAATGAAAAAACGCGGCCGAAGCCCCTGCACAACACCTACACCTCTCACCATCCCCATCTACATCCTCCTATAATTCTCCGCCAACCCCTCAAACTGATCCAGCCCCTCAACCCCATTACCAGGACAACTCCAATCGCGCTCATACGCCTTATCGGGCAGAATCCCCGCCTCACGCCCCCTCCTATAACTCCACTGCGTACTGCTCTCCGTCTCCCACGTCCAGTAAAACCAGCCCCAACCAGCTTCAAACGCATCCATCTGGCCAATCGCAAACTGGTACAGCCACTTCTTGTACTGATCGCTGTAATTCTTCGGGTCGGCATTGGCCTGGTCGCAGGAGCACTGCGACGATTCCAGCGGACACTGCGGCTTGAGGACAGCGCCGGATTTACCGTCTTGCGCCTGTAGAGTGCCTTCCCAGCGTGTGCCTGTGTTGACGTTGTTGATGTATTGCGTGCAATCTGTGTCTGCCTGGGACCATTCTCCGCACATGGTAGGTCCGAAACCGGTTTTCTTGTCCATGGAGCGCTTGCTTTGTTGGGTCCAGGCTTCGCAGGCGAAGTTGAGCTTGTCGCGGTGCTCGAGCTTGATTTGGTCCGTGTTGAAGATGACGTACTGGTGGACGTCGAGGAGAAGGTTGTCGTTGCCTTGCAGCTTGCCTTGCCAGTTGTCGAGGCCCATGAAGCCGTCGCCGAAGACGATGATGCCTTCGATGCCGTCGGCACGGATTTGGTCGATGGCTTTTTGTGTCCAGGCGACTACTTTTTCCGTGTCGAGTTCGACGTTGCGGGGTTCGTTGACGAGGCCGTACATGGTGACTACGTTCTTGTAGCGATCTTGGGCGAAAAAGACGGAGAGCTTGTGGTGGACGTCTAGGGTGCGTTGGCCGTTCTTGTCGCCGTCTGTGCCGTTGAGCCAGTTGATTTGGCCTTGACGACCAGAGTGGTTCCAGCCGTTTTGACTACCTGGCGCGCCGTGAAGATCAAGATTGACGCGGAGCCCGTTTTGGCGACAGTACTCAATACCGCGGAGAAGGTAGCGCCATGCTACTTGCGGTACGTAAACGTCGTCGTCGTATGTCTGCACGATCCAGTAGCCGAATGGGAAGCGGACGTGATCCATGCCAGCCTCCCTGATCTCCTGGAAAGTCTTCTTGTTGATGAATGTAGAGTAGTGCTTCTCCATGGTGTCTTTCGCCTTTGCAGGTCCGAGCTTGCTCAAGAACGTCCATTCGTCGACTACGTTGTCTTTGGACCCATATTGAGAGAAGTAAGACGGCGTAATGAAAGGCTCGAGGTTGAGCCAGCCACCGACGTTCACACCACGAATAGGTGTCTTGCCGTACTCAAACGAGTCTGAGAGTTTCGGAACAGAAGGATTGGCTTGAACATCATCGTCCCATGAGTCGTTGAGACCGATGACTGGGAGACCTCCGACAAGTTTGTTGGTGTAAGTGACATTGAAATCATCGGTATCGTACCACGCCCATGGGTCCAATATGCCACCTCGGTCCGCTTCTGGTACGCTGTTTCGGTCCTTCCCGGCCAGATTGTCGTTCTTTGGCCCCGATGAGGCGGCGGCGGATCCGCTCCCTGAGCTTTCGTCATCCTTGCCTCTGCTCGAGTGCAGTGCAGCGACAGGTATGACGATAGCCAGGATGATCACGACACAGACTATGGCGAATATTATGCGCTTTTTCTTCTTCTTTCGTGCCAGCTCCTCTTCTGTGTATACTGTCGGCGGGCCACTGCCTGCACCTCCGCGCTTCTCCATCATGAACCGATACTCGGAATCGTCGTCGATGCCACCCTCTTCAGCCAAAGGTCCGCTGATAACGCGCCGCTTCTTCTGTTCTGTGCGGTGTTGCTTCTCTTGCCGTCTCCGTTCTCTGCGCTCGTCGGCTTCTGACGGTGTGTATTTGGACTCGTGTCTGCGCCTTCGTTCCTCCCGTTCATCATCCGTGTATGCGCCTCTTTTCCTCTCGAGCTCATCGTCAGTCTGACTTTGCTTCAACGCAGCAGCCTTCCGTTTCTCCTCTCGCCGTTTCCTAGCTTTCTCCTCAAGCAATGCGGCATCGCTCTCTGCAGCGCGTCGTCTAGCTTCCTCCTCTTGCTGCTCTTTCCTCTTCTCCGCTCGCTCGTGCTTTATCCGGTCCTTCTCCAGGTCCTTCTCCTTCTTCCTGACCTCTTTCAGGTATTCATCGTCGTAGTCGTAGGCTCCCCAGCCCCCAGCCTTCTTCGCATTGGTCTTGTCGAGCTTCGCTAGGGCATCGAGACTCAGAGGAGCTGAGCCTCGACTTCCCCTCCCACTTCCATCTGTCGTAGAATTGCGCCGCGATCTTTGAGCTTTACGTGGTGCTGGGGATTCCTGTTCTGTGTCGCTCTGGTGTCTCGACCGCCGGGGCGGCTTTGGCAGAAGGTCGCCTGAAGAGTCTGTCGCCCTGTGTCCCTTCCTCCGTCTTCCTTCCCGATCGTAGACTGCATCCTCACCGCGGGATTCTCTCCTCCGCCGTCGCTCAGGATCTACGTCGCCATGTGATTCTCTGCGCCGTCTCCGTTCGTCGCCCTGCGGTCGTCTTCGCGACGCATTGCGCTCGCGGTCGCTCATCGAAAAGATTGGGTGGTCGTGATAAGTATACGTGCTTCAA